TGTCTTATAAATGTATCAATCATGAGGTATGTTTAACCTAAAGATGCGCTCTTGTAGCTTTTTTTAATTGCGCTCAAGAAATTATATTATAATACGAGAAGAACTTAATTAAATTAATAATACAAACTGTCTGTGTAAATAGTCGTGGTGGAAATAGCGAACTTGGCAGCTTGAAACTTTTATTTGCATTGTGAACGTGTAAACTGCGATGCACGTGAAACCCGCCGGGATGCCGGCAAATTATTCATCGAAGTCTCAGCGCAGCGCAAGAAAATGATACGGGATATAGTCAAGAATGAGGCTGTAAAAGTGGTGGTAAGCCCTTAACCCTTTCCGTCCTGTAAATACACCTCAATGCTGACAATGCAACGGTGTTTCTGATGCGCGCGCATATGCAGATGCAAAGAGTTTTCCGTGCGCAATAATATTTTTTTTTTTCTTGTCTTCCACCTCACCGCTTTCCCATGCCCTTGCCGCACAGGGCACGCGGAGTTTGTAATTAATTTTCGCGGCACGGTACAGCATAATAACCGCCATTACAAGAATACACCCTGTTAATCTCCCTACGGGGGAGAAATTCTGACCTTCACGCGGTTATCACGCTAGCTTGAGTTCGCGCTACTCTTTGTCCTTGCTTACATTTTATTACCTACGTTAACGCTTATGCGCGAGAGTACATTTACTGGATTATCCCTGATAATTCTCAGATTTTTTTCTTCTTTCTTTATATTCACAGGTCTCGGTGTGACAAGTGAAACGTATCATCTAATCTCTCTAATTATAAAAACTGAAAAGACCGAGAAATGCACGAGAAACGCTTACTTACATGGTATAATAAATTTATTTAGTTAACATTCTTTAGTTTATTAAAAGCGAAAACAAATCTTAATCAAGCGAATATAAATTTAATAGGTTGAAATGCTATACGGTAATTAAATATTAGAGATATTGTAAAATATCCATATTTTTGCATATAAGAAATAAAAAATTGTATATAACGAATATATTTTTTGTTTTACATAATTAACGTAATCTCTAGTAAAAACTTGCGACGAGGACCAAATAGAAATCATCTGGTAATCTTAGTATGTTCGAACCTGCTGACTGCTTATCCAGTCAGATCGCTACTTCGCTCTTCGCGTCTAGGTAATTTATTATTACGAGCGCTGCATGCGTTATCGATCGGTGATGCTTTTAACAGTACAGACTGAAACTCCTCTAGCCAGCTTATTTTCTTGACAGGAAACTGACAGTGAAATTTGTCGACCGAGATTTCAGTGAACTTCGATATATATGTATATATAATATCGCGTCTCGGTTTTTTAATCTTCCTTGAATATTTTTTCACCTTTCCACGTGTGCAATGATAAATCACACGTATCATGCAAATGCATTTCGAAATATCGCAAAAATTCTAATAATTTTTCAGTTCTCTCGGGTATATTTAATATAAATTTTGTTATTGATAGATCTTTTTCCAAAAATCTGACATTTTCGAAAGAATATCGCTGAATATCGCTTTATAAATGTAATCCATTAAAAAAATATTACAATTCAAATTGTGATATTAGAATTGAAAAATTATTATTATCAATTTCTACAAGAGGGATTAGCAATTTATATCTTCAGAGGACTGGTTCATCTTACATTTATTTAACGGAATTCTTTCTGTAATTCTTCTGAATCGGATTACTTCCAAAGTTTTTCAGGGAAAAGCTAGCGCTCCATCGTGCCGAAATTCGGGAAATGAAGGATTAACTTCGTGTCTCGAGGTCCTCGCATGTCCAACATCCTGACAAACATCAGTCATCTCCGTGACGCGCGCGGAATCGCATCGCGCTATTTTCCGCTTGTTCTTTTCCGTGCAGTTACATTTTATATATGTCCCATTTGTTCCCCGCAACTATCAAAGGCAGGCGCCGACTTCGACAATTTAAAACGCTAAAACGCGTGAACTCGATATACGGCAACCGAGGTATCTACGCGAATGGCCATCACAGATACGCGTCGAATCGCGCGGCGGGCGAGATTAAAGAATCTATGCGGATTGCGTCCGCATGCACGTTTCTATCTCGTATTGTCGATTTTTCTTGCCAACCGACAAAATCCGCGCATCCACAGATCAACGAGAGAGATAGTTAAAAACAATAACGATACTCGACAATAATATCGAAAGATGCACGTATCGCAATTTAACTAATTGCCTCTCTACTTTTTAAGTACATAATTATATTAATAATATTGTTACACATCTAACTACCGTTTGCTTAATATTATCTTTTAATTAATGTATAAATGGATTAAAAAGGATTTTTAAATTGTTCATTTTATTAATGAAAGAATATCCAATATGGGTACTAATGTTTAATAACAATTATTCATTAATGTATTTTTTAAAAGATTATAATTGTATGAGGAAGACAAGAAAATACTTTTTATTATTTTTATTATATTTAACTACTCCTTCTGTCTTCTATTGATAGAGTACAGAAGTTTAATTAAGTTTTATTAGATACAAAAGTCGATAAAGATATTTTTAAATTAGAAATCATAATAGAATGTGATTTATCTTTGTATATTTTTGGTTAAATTACTTTTATATGTTTTTTAATTAAAAAGCACGATGTAAAGAGAATCGATAAAAATAAAAAAAAAGAAGAAAAGACTAATGACATAATCGTGGTATAAAAATTGTTGCGAGACTACGTTTGCACAGCACGCCTAACTGCTTAGCATAGAAATAGAGAGAGTCGGACTTTTTTTTACTTCCCGAGGACTAAATGGATTTACAAGCTTAGTTTCTCTCTCGTTGTAGTGCATTCCCCAAAAGAAGATAAACAAATTGCGGATAGGAAAGAAGCAGGAAAAAGAAGAGAGAGAGGTGAAAAAGGCAGATACCGAAAATAAAAAGAGAAAAAAAAAGAGAGAAAGAGAAATAAAACGATTGTCAAATCCTCCTCTCGTTCTGACGATGAAAAGGGCTCGTAATGTCGCTCGTTGAACATGGGTTTTTCAGCGGAATACCAAAGGTCCTACATCCCTTTATGTTTATTCGCGGCTGACAATCGCGTTCTCTCTTTCACCGTAATAAAGAACTCGCTGTCGTCTGCAGTTTAAGGTGATGAAACTCAGCGTCGATGCAGACAACGCGAAATGAATGCTGAAATCGATGCTCTCTGTCGAACGGAAGGATAGGCGTCACCATTGTTGGGCCTCGATAGTACTCGAACGCATCTTGCGTGTACTTCGCGAAATGACAGGGATGGTACAATGAATATAATGGGACAACACACACATCACCCGGCGATAACCCGAATTGTTCGGGACATTGCGTCATTTGTGCGAATAAATCACCTTTGTAAAATAATAGATAATTGAAGCGTTATAGCGGCGTCGTTTTATTTTAAAATTGCGCCTTTATTTAAATTAATCAATAAGAATTGACTGTGAAATTTAATTGCCTCATTATCGCGCAAAATAATGTAAAACTCGCGTTTTCTAATTAGCTCGGAGTAACTGTCCGTTACTATAAAATACTTTTTCTCGTTTGGGCACCTCGGCAATTTGAAAGTTTCGCCCTGATCACATTCGAGAAAGTTTCTTCTTCGGCTCTTGGCACGTTAAAGACAAAAAGTTTAATCGCGAGTTTAATCTCATGCATTATAATAATAAAGCCGAATAGTCATAAGATAATTCATGCGACAAGGAATGCAAGGAAGGAAGGAAGAAAGGAAGAAAGGAAGGAAGGAAGGAAGGAAAGAAGGAAGAAAGGGAGAGAGGGAGGAAGGAAGGAAGGAAGGAAGGAAGGAAGGAAGGAAGGAAGGAAGTTTGGACAAGGAATGCAAACCATGCTCGAACGAGACTGCATTGATTCCAATATAAACTCAACCCTTGCAGACGAGACCATGCCGGGAAATCCTCGTGACGAATTCCGGCGACATCGTCTGGCGAATACAGACTATTGGATTTCGAAATATTCAACCGGTGAAGCTTTTCATTCATTTATGGATTAGCAATCGGAGAAGTAAATTACAGAGATAAATCCAAATGGAAACTAACGAAATCTGATCCTCAGACTCCTAAATATTATAAAAGTCGCGGGAAAATTTCATTAGATAACATACGATTTTTTAGATATTATTTAGAATACTGGATAAATGAAACTTGAGGAAAGTTTATTTATTAAATTTTACATGTAAAAGCCAATTTCAAATAATAAAAACAACATGATCTACTTTTATAGATCAAATTGATTACAATTAATTGATTTTAAAAGTTATAGCATTTTCGAAAAGCTTTGATAAAATTATATTATTACATCTCTATAAAATAGTACAAGGAATTGCACTAATAATACTTTTGCTAATTTCAATGTTCTTTGAATGATATATATAATTAATGTAAGAATTCATAATTTCTAAACGTGATGCTAGTTACTATTCATAGATCTTTATCTCGTCAGATCATTTCTAGACAATACTTTTGTAAAATGTATGTACATACATATTCAAAAATCTTCTACTTTTAATTATCCATCCAGAAAATTCATGATAAATATCAAAGAAAATAATATTTATAAAATAAAATGACAAATAATATTGATAAAATAAAGTAACAATAATAATATATTTTCCCCTATCTTTCCCGTATCTTCCCATTTTTATTTATAAGAATAATAACTATAAATGTGAATAATGGAATGTAAATAAATAACAATATTGCGATTTGATTATTTCAAAATGGAGTTTATTTTGAGACAAAGATTTAATTAATCACTCTATCAAGAAAATATTTAATGCTGGAAACTAATCGATTGAAAAATAAATTTTTAAATTTTTGTGAAGATATTGATTGGAAAGAAGAAATCAGAATATCATTTATTTAATCAAAAGGAAATAATTCTGTTAAGCAAGGAGAACGAGAGAGAAAGATACATGTAGCGCCCTTGCACGCGAGCGTTGTGAAACCGTTTTAAGCCTGTGCTATCGATCGAAGTTAAGAATCTCGAAAAGGGAGACATCGGTAAAACACACGTACTCTAAAATATTATGGCGTCATGTCTAACGCCACTTGTTGGAAATGTGCGTTCTCCTGACACGCCGACATATGTGCTCACAATTGTTTTATAACAATACACGTGACCTATAAATGAACAAATGTGCTAAGTAACATTTGTTACGGTATACCATTTGAGTTAAGTGACGCTTATCGCAAAAGGAAGTTACTAGTCATACGTGAACATTTCGAACTGTGAAGTTGCGTGAATTTTTTTTGAAAAATTGATCCTTGATTCATGTGAATAGTGTTGAATATTTCTGCGACCTCGCAAAGTTACAAACATCTTTAAGATATTATCCAATATCAAAATAGATGCCGTTGGATGAGATAGACTGAAAATACGGAAGCACCTGATGACAATTTTGCGAGATGACGAGTCTTCGATATGACACTACCTGTTTTATTTTAATTTTACTTCACATTTTAGTACCCTCGAATGTAGCATTGAGAAATATTCTGAATGTTCAGGTAATCACACGCAAATATTTCGTAGATTAAAAAAAATAAAATATTGATATTCCAGAGATTATTTTTTATCTTTTTTATATTAAAATGTACATATTGTTACATTGCATGTTATATAAATTATTAATCTGCTTATGATAAAGAAGATTATCTTGAAATTAAAAATATTACAGAAATTTCTTTTGTGTTATAGCATTTGCCTGATACCAAGTTCAGTTCGAATGAATATTCAGAATATCCTGATCCCGAGGATAGAGACAGAGGATCCTTAACACAACCGAATGACCAACAAAATATAAAAGATAATTTAAATTTAGAAACTAATAATCAGAACATTGACAAAGAGGAATCAATAACTACGGATGTCTTAAATAAAAGTGAATATTGAATCTTTTGTTTACAGAAATCTCTGTGATTAGATATATTTTTATATTTTTATATTCTTTTCAGACATAGTGTTGGATGCGCAATGGGGTGCACAATTGAAACTTACTCAGGCATCAGCAGTTTCTATGGATCCAAATGGCAATATTGCTATATTTCATAGAGGAAATCGTATGTGGGGTCTTTATACTTTTGACAATGAAAATAGATTCGATCCAAATAATGGGCCGATAGCACAAAACACGATAATTCTTTTGGATAAAAATGGAAAAGTAATATTGGAATGGGGAAAAAATATGTTTTATCTCCCGCATGGTCTGACTATTGATCAGGCTGGGAATTATTGGATTACTGATGTAGCAATGCATCAGGTATTCAAGTTTGAGGCTCAAGACGTAGAGAAATACATGGAAGAACTGAAACACGGACAGTTTAGCTTAGAGACTAGGGTGCCTAATGGCCATACCAATGCATTATTCGAAGACAGCATACTAAAGCCATCTATAATTCTGGGAGAGGCTTTTGTTCCTGGCAACGACGAGAGGACATTTTGTAAACCAACTGATGTCGCTGTACATAGTAATGGTGACTTTTTTGTCAGTGATGGATATTGCAATTCTAGGATAATCAAGTTTAATAAAAATGGTGAACGAATTTTACATTGGGGACGACATTGGGGCGCTGGGGGTAAGAATAAGAATAAGATTAGTCGATGATGATCCAAAATAATATCCTAATAATATACTAAATTAAACCACGCTTGATTTTAGAGCCTGTCTATTCGCAGCTGCCCCCACCAAATGCATTTCTTGTCGCGCATGCTTTAGCACTTGCGAGCGAATTAAATTACATTTATCTCGCAGATAGAGAAAATGGCAGGATATTGTGCTTCTTTGCCAATAACGGTACATTCCATAAGGAATATAAACATCCAGTTATTGGTACAAAAATTTATAGTGTTGCCTACGCTCGTGAAAAATTATATCTAGTTAATGGACCTGATCCATACGGAAGTAATCCAGCACCAGTGAGAGGCTTTATACTTGATATCTATTTCGGCAAAATTTTATCAATGTTTGAGCCTAAAAAGCATATGAGTAATCCACATGATTTGTATGTGACTGAAAATGGTTCCGAGATATATGTAGTAGAATTAAATGATAAAAAAGTTTATAGATTTCTACAAGGTATAATATTATATTTCATAACAATTATAAAATGTATCATAAATCAGTTATATCATATTTTATCATATATTTAAATGTATCTATCTTTTTCTTGTTTTAGCCGTAAATGATTCTACGCGTTCTGAGGATTCACAGTCTGCTAAACGGCATCAACCAAAGATCTTAATACATCCTGATACCAAAGATACTGATATTGAAAAAACTAACATGACAAAAATGATCTTAGGCCTTGGCTCAGCGGCCATTTCCTTTATTACAATGTGCATCGCGATTGCTGCCATTGTAGCGAGATGCCAAAAGAGAGGTAGAAAAATAAGACGTCATTATGATGAACCGGCTGTTGAATTTTCTAAATTAGTAGACTAGAAATCAATATTCTTTTAATTGTAATTTTTCTTTCGTTGTAGCATTCTTGTAGCATTTATTTACTGCATTTATTATTAAGTAATTTGTATATAGATTGTTTGTAATAATTAAAGTCTGGGAAAAATACTATTATTATATGATAACAGCAAGTTGATTATCATATTTATTATTTATTAATTATTATCATATGATAAAGAATTTCCCAAACTTAAATCATTATGACAGCACATTCACTTTCTATCGTTCCTATTATATATTCGAATTATGTTTACCTGTTTAATATATGTTTAATTTATTTAATTTCCCTTAGTTTTAATTTTTATGTTTATTATATACGCTTTAAGAAACTCATATGTTGTGTATTCGTATTTTACATATATACACTTCAGTTTATACGTAAATCTAAAGGATACGTATTATAATTTTTTTCATAAGATCTTTATTATATTTCTTAATGTATTGCATTATTTTGCTTTTTTTTCTATATTATTATTTATGTATCCACTGTACATACTTTATCTATTGCAGATAGAAAATATATGTTACCTTAATTTAATTTAATATTTTATTTGCACTATGCCTGTTGTGATACTTTATAAATCTCTCGTAAAGCTTGGCTTTTTTGTTTATATGTAGATGTTGAATATGATGACTCTTTGAGACAGAATAATGAATAATTTGTGAAAATTGATTATTTATAAAATATAAAATTAATTAAAATTTTTTAATTATGCTTTTTTTCAAATATCCATTTCTCTTTCAATTAAACTTGTTTCGAAAGAATTATATTGAAACACTTATTTCAAATTATTAAGCATTATTCATTATGATTGTTATATAAACAAAAAGCTATTCGTGACTATAATTATAATCGATTATATTTCATTAAACCGGTTCAAAGAGAAAAACACTGAAGTTGCAATTTCATAATTTACACACACAAATTATTCATTTAATCGCTACATGGAGAATTTTAATTTTAATTAAAAATCGTGAATATCAAATAAAATAGCATTTTGCTACAGAATTCAACTGAATCGAGATCTTTTATATTTCATGCGTATGCGTGTCTTTAATAGGTCAATTAAATATTTGGACTGCGTGGAATGTGTGTTAATTTCAACATTTTCCGCAACACAATAAAATTAATCAGATGTGTGAACTTTATACTCTGATCTCACAGGATGTCTACTTACGATGCGTAAGAGAATGCGTTGGGAGGCCGAGAGGCGAGAAAATTTCAAGCTGACCGGCCTGCTGGAATATCGCCGTGGCAGAAACTTCAAGTTTTTGGAGAAGCGGCCAAACCCGCGCGATTTCAACAAATTGAACACGGAGCCGGAAACCTCGGAAGATGAGCATCCTGAAAATAGTCTCGCGAAGGTTATTTAAAACGTTGCTGAGTAACGTTGCAGCGTCTCACCCGAACAGTATTACTCAAATAAGATGAAAAATATCACAATTGATTATCAATTAACGTAAGATACAAATTACGCGTTCGAATTTTTTTAATATTCGCGCTGCCGAGCGCCGCCGAGTCAATCCGAATTCGACCGATGATACGCGCGTCTCATGACGTCACCTTGCCGACTACCGAATATACAGTTGCTTGACATTACCATTTATATGTATACCAATATATTTTATATTGTATTAAGGATTTAAAAAAAGTGCCATACTAATTTATATAAATTAAAGCTAGATATGTAGATTGAACTGGAATAAATTATCATTTTTTTTTTCAAATTGCTTTGGATACTTTCTAGGAAACATTTAATTGTAAACATAAAATTGATATATATATTGCACTATATATAAAATCGAAAGTTTATTTTAAGTATCATTATTTGTAATAAAAATTTGAATTCAATCAAATCATATCGCATTTGTTTGGAAATTATTTAAGAAGTTAATTGATAACAAATGACGAGTTATGTGATATATCAAATGTCAAAGAAAAATTGAAAAAAATCTAAAAAATGTTTTAGAGAATGTTTTTTTAATAATAAATGGTAATGTTAATGAAGCTCGGGCTATATTTTATAATACTCAAGCATTTCTGCTCGATTATTACTCCAGTATTTTTTATACTATCATGAAATAGTAAAAAAATTATCATTATAAACAATTATAGAGATGATTGCGTAATTTTTAAAAATAAAACAATTAGATTTATTGTTTTATTATTTATATATAAATTCCATATAAATTTATATTTTCTCTTCCGAAAATATAAAACTTTTACTTTGAAATAATTTGCTTAATTTCAATTTAGTGAGTTCTTCTTAAAAAGAAAGAAAGACGAACCGATCTACACTACACAAAGTTATCAATTCAGAATGTTGCAACTCAAACATAATCGCATAAATAGATAAATAAGTGCAGTTGAAAATAATAGACTTATCGATTGCTTTCGAGAAAGAAAATAAGTTCAATGAATGCTTCCCTCAATTTACAATTTACGGAATTTCATATAATCGACGTCGATGACAACGTGCCTTGAGTTTTCAAGTTGCACAATTTGCGTCATACGTCATGCAAGCAAGGAAAAAGAAATAGTTTAAGATTTGATCAAAAATTTTTTCAACAATCACATTTGATTCAAGCACAATAGTTTTTCATATTTCATTTGCGAGCAATCATTTAAATAGCAACATTTGTAGGAAAAACGCCCATATGAATGCTGTAACAAATTTATATTAAAATTTTAAATAGTCAAGATCCTAAAAGAGAGATCCAAGATCAAGATCCCTAGATCATACATCATATATAAAAGATATATTAACATTTTTAATGACCATAAATCTTGTAAGATCATCTTGATAATTATATCCTTGGTACTCGAGAGAAACAATGCAAGAAAAGAATCACGTCTTAAGAAAATAATTTTTGGCACATGTTATAATAAAATTCATAACTAATATTGATAAATGTTAATGTTATTATAAACTTTATTTGCATACACTTAAACATTTGCAATGTAACAAATAATCATGCTTGGAAATACTAAGCTTCATTATGCATTGTTACTCTTGACTATAATTAACAAAAGCATAAGACATTGAATAAAATAGATTGATACGTGATAATAATGCCAAAACGCATTTTAGCATTTGCAAATGGATAAGAAATACGTATTTACATATTACAAATCAGTAGATTTATAAATCTTGAAAAAATATAAATATATGTAATGCTCCTTTCAAGTAATTAATTAACAAATAATTAACAATTAATTAACAATAATTCCATAATTAATAAAAACAATTTAATCATAATTATATGAAGAATTGGTTTTTTTGCAATGTAGAAAAACTATATTTTAAAAACAAAAATTATTATCTAAATTAATAACTAATTTTGAAACATTCACGCATATAAAATTACATTATTTGAAAATTTGCGCAATTGGATTTATTGATCTTATGGCAAGACAATACAAGTTGAAAAGAAGCAGAGAAAATAATATAATATCTAATGAATCATAATTAAGATTAGTAATTACAAATATTATTCCTATAAAAATTTTTATTCTATTTTTATTAATTCAAATTATACATTTCTGGAAATTATTTTTGAAAATATATTCTTTTACATTTATTTTATTGTTAAAATATTTGAAAATATAATAAATTTTTTATAACTTAAATTATAAATAGTTCTAACTATTAGCACAAATTAATCAGTTATAATATTTAAAAATTTTGTTTGGTAAAAATGTGAAGTAAATTATTTAAATATACACTACAATATCTTTCTACAATATATTTCCCAAAATATGCAAAAATATACAAAAAATATACAATATGAATTATTTTTATCTGATATCGAGAATTACAGTAAATGAAATGCACGCATAAGATCATAATATGACTAAATTATTTATTAATTTTTGAATTATATAAATTTAGATTATAATTATTATAATTATATTATGTTTTAGCAACATATCACTAACGGAATGTAAATATTTGATCTGGGAACATAATGCTCATAAAAGAGCTTGTATCACAAAAAATTATTTTATATTTACTTCAATGTTTATTATTTTTTTTCCAATTTCTTATGTACGCAAACGCGCGCACAAATGTACTGTGTGTGTTCAATCTATTGCTATATTTAAGCTATTAAATTAACAGTCTATGAAAGACAATCTGTATTATATGTTGCTTTACAAAATTAAGCTCATTTGTTTTTCGATAGTTCGTTAGTTCAACGTCACTGTCATGGTATTATTTATAAACCTAAATGGATAAAATATGTTCTCGATTTAATCGCATTTCCGCTTTGTAACAAATGCTAATTTAGATCAATATTGTGTAGTACAACTTTAATTATTAATACAAATTTCCCTTTGGAATAATGCAACAATATATCCCTTATACGATGTAAGAACGTGTCTGTAATCCATATGTATCTATATGTATCTATATAAATATAAAAGCATATATTTTCAAATAAAATTGAGTGTTTGTATTATATGTGTAAATAATTATTAACGGAAACTCAAGCTTTATTTCACGGGAATCAAATTTAAAATCTCGATCCAAATCAAGACTTACTTCCGGTAGGAGTAGCCGATAGACAATAATAGGATAGGAGCGAAACAAAACCGTTCGGTATTTTGATAATGGTTTATTTTTTACACACTTAGTTGACTTCTATACACAACTATACAACGATGAAAATTAAAATTCTGTCTATTTACCGCTAATTAAGGTCATCGATGATAATGACTTGTGATAGAGATGCAATATAGTCAGTCGATTCTCTTCTGATTCACGCGAACCTGAAGAATCGGGTGACGTCTGCGGACAGTACGATTCAAATTAACTTTTGCGCGCAAAATATCTAAACGTACAATCAGCAGAGGCCATATATGTTACAAATCACCTGTAAAGAATGACGTCCGCACCTGCCGCAAATCAAAGGTGCCGTCAACCTCCACTCGCTGAAAAGTCTATCTACACACGCATGATAAATTAAAATAAATACAGGAATTATTTTTTCGCTTAAAGAGAGGTATCACGATCACCAAGGACACCAATCGGAGTTCCCATCTGGATCCGAGCTAAGAATGAGGAGGAACGTTCCAGTTAGCTGCATGAATATAAATTGGCGTATTGCTAGCGGAGGACAGTGTCGTATAAAATATTCAGTTTTCGCCTCTAAAATTGAATGCTTGATATAATGCCATAAAGTATATTATATTTGATTTTAAATTTTACACAATTTATTTTATACAATCGCGCAAATTACATCAGACATCGTACACTTCGTGTTTTCATTGAGATGAAATCAAAATGATATTGTAACGTTACAAATTTTTATCTCACGTTTTCACTTTATCTGCTAATGATACTTATGTAAAAACGACCAAGTACGTTGAACATCATAACTTCAACTAGACTATTAATTCATTCATACAAAGACAATTATTGGAGCAATATGTCAATTTAATCATGCAACAAGATGAAGCTCACCAAATAGAATAGCTCTCCTTTTACGCGCTAAAGGAATGCAGGAATGCTCGACGATGACGAGGTATTGCACGAAGCGTTCAGAAATAAGGAACCACAAATACTCCGATGAACATCGTTTAAGGTCTTGCTTCCGTCCCAGGACGACAGGACGAAATCGAGAAAGGACGCCGCTCCCACACCGCGCGCCCGCACGTTTTTGTACATTAAAAATCGTATACATTCGTAGTGATACATCGACAATTGCCTATCTGTTATTCCATATTTATCATTTAGGTTTACCTAGGTCTACCGTAAATTCGTAACTAGAATAGTCGACTTTTCGCAGCCGCTCGCAAATCTACCACTGGTGCCGCCTGGAATATCTTGCGCGGACCAATGTCGCCGTCAGAAAAATGAACGGCCATCCCGAAATATATCACAATGTCCATGTATACTCACGTTCGATCGTAATGTTGATGTCATCATACTTATTACATTATTATTGTTATTATTAATATTAATATTATTGTTATCGTTGTATAATAATTATTATTACTATAATTATTGTTATTATTATTATTGTTATTATTGTTATTAGACGTATACTTTATTTACAAAACTTATGTTTCGATGACAACAACGGAACAATGTATATACTTATAGCGTGTCGTAAAATTCCTCAGGAATGTAATACACAAACGTATGCTAACTTGAGACGTTTACCTTTAAGGAAACGCGACGAATGATGTGCCCTACTATTTCGAACTTATTAAAGGAAGCTCCTTCAATACATTCTCGTAAAAGAGATTACATTATACGATAAGTATCCGTCTTTGCACATGAGATCATGTAGGATCTCCGTTCGAAACGTTAAATCGATAAAAAAAAAACAAAGACTAGCTTTTCGTTGCGCATATTTAACATGTAATTCTTTGTTTTGCAGCAGAATCATTGAGTCGCTTAGTTTTGACTTTATCGCCAAAAAAGTGAGCCAGGAATAAATTTTTAGTTATGCGAATTAATTTTGTACAAATTTTTAAACGGTATTGACAACATCGTAAAAAATATCATTATGTCGAGTTATGTCGATTTCGAAAGCAATTCCCATCTTTTGTTATACAGAAGATAAGAAGAATTACTCTTTCAGACATTTCTTTCTTTTTTTTGGGGGGGAGGGGAAGGATTGTTTTCAATGTGAACGAACGCGAGACAAAGATCCTGTCACAACTCTTGAAAACCGGTTTCCGCGCAAACTTAAAACTCTGTCGTTCAAATAAAAGCGTAATGTCAAGCGCCGAAAATTCTACTTTAAAAAAAATACCGTTTTCGAAGCAAAGCTACGAATCCCTGTGTGCACAGTCTCGTTAAACGCAATTGCGATGTATTGCACATCAAACGGTCTGTAAACAAGAGCAGTCGATAGCACCGTCGCAATTGCGATTCGAATAATGATAATTGCAGTAATAATACATAATAATAATAATAATACCCTATCACGTCAATATTTTTACTATATTTACACAATGCCGTGTATAATATAATACTAAGATAACTTGTCGTATACATCTCATTGCACCTCGCCACGCCTTCCGCTTTGACCCCTCCATGAAATCGGAAATACATGGTGTGCATTTTCCCTGCGTTTCGCTATCAAGCGGGAAAGTCCGCGAGAGAAGAAAAACATGTGTTAAAACAAAAATCACGTGACGGAAATCCACGCCCTAATCAGTTTGTCACACTCATCGGAATGTAGTTAAATAATTTACAATTAGCGAGGCCTTAATCTCATCGACGTTTCTTTAGCACGAGCGCAGACACTCGAAATGCCTCTAACGAGGGCAAAACGAGCGGGAGTTTAACGACTGCGCTTTAACCGCGATAAATCGCATCACGCGATATGACAAATTGAACCCTTTTTTTCACCGATCTTATTTAACGAAATAAATAAATTAACGTATACGTACAGTTACATGGAGCCAATTAAATCGTCCGACGCGAGTATTTGATAATTGTGTTAATGTATGTATATGTGGAATATAGCCACTTCCGATTGTTGGACCAGCGCACAGCGCCAATCCAAAGTCAACCCGTTCGCTGGAGCTATTCGCATTAATTTATGGCAATTTTCTCTCTTTTAAGACACTGTGTGTCGTAAAATTCATTAATGTGCACAAATCACAATTCGTTCCTTCCTTTATCGACAGCTCGGTGTGATCACTGGGACAGAGCGTTTCATAAAAACAGCCTGCACATTATATATGACGGATCATATTTTAATCATTGATATTCAGAAATACTCGGACTCATGATAATTACAGCGGATTTATAGTGGCCAAAGTGTTTGATATTATAATGAAACACATCGGTCATTGCCATTATTAAATATTTGGAGCTGTCATGATCAGGATAAATTTTTAATAATACCGAACAAAATCCATTTTCACTTTATCGAATAATATCGATAATTCTTCATCGAACGTTACAAAACATGAAAAATCCATTTAAAAATGGAATCATTTCAAGTAGGTTCTTGCGAAAAATTCACTAGTATAGTAATGATTTACAATGCGGAGCTAAAAGATTTATGCCAATGATTCAGTTTTCTTTACAAAATATTAAATAATGCTTATGCTTGTTGCTATTTTAAGATACATTTGACTAGAGATACTATACGTTGAAAATATTTACCCGCTATATCTCCAATTATAAATCTCAAACGTGTAATTTTAATTACTACAACTCCGTCATATCACTCTTCTTTACATTCATGACATTAAGTCAATGGTCAAACCGATATTAGCATCAGCTAGATATATTTGCAGAAGCTGTAATCCACATTACACAACGTGTCACAATGGTTCTGGGAAGGCTGTGATAATGAGAATCTATATTGCGCAAATTGTCACTGTCGATAATGCCAACAATTTCGATTCTCTACCCTGATTTTACCTCAGCGTATTAATTTATAAAAAGAGTACTCCTTTCATAGATTCCCTGTGTAACTGTTTCTTCCAATAAGACCAGGTTCATGTAAAAAAAAAAAAATAATATAATACAGCAAATACAGCGCGTTGTGTTCATTAAACCATTGTAAATTATTATTAATCGCCCGAAGTTAAATTTCTATCACTCAAAAAACACTCCAAAATTACTTAATCACTCTAATTCCGTCGTTTATTCTAGCTATGCTTTACTGACTTTATATTAAATTCAAAGGAATGGATAATTTTGTACCTCTACCAGGCGATTTTCATCGAATGATCTAATACTGTCGATCTTGACCTCACTGCATTATCCGACGTTAAATTCGCGATAGTCCAACTATGGATGAATAAATTTCGTCGATCGCGCTTTCTCCGCGCTCTCGCTCTCTTCTATGGCGTCAGTCGCGGAAACGCAGGCTCTATCCTACCCTCGATTACCCTCGAGACAGAACAGAGAGGAGTACTCGTTCCATGGATTATGGTAAGCTTCTACCGGCCGGCAGTTTTTCCTCCGTGGAACCGAACCGAACCGAACCGTTCAGCGGGCGGTTCAGACGACGCCTTGATAAACAGGACTGTACTCCATATCGTGGGTGTACTGAGGTGGTCCTGGCGGCGGTGGCTGCGGACTGTATTGTTGCGAGGCGTCCGAGGCGCGACGTCTGAGCGCCGCGATGCTGTGGGCGCCTCTCCAGTCCGACGCCTCATTCGCAGTCACGTCGGCACCCACGCAGGAAACGCCGCCACCTCCGCCGGTACCGCCGCTGCCGCTACCACCGGAAGTCGTGCCAGGAGAACCCTGACCGCAGTTCAGGCCCGAGCCCATCCCACCGGACTGACCGCCGCCCACCGAGGAGCCGCCCGGTGGCGAACCTCGGGACGCCGACACATGAACACCACCTGCTAATAATAATAGAGAAGAATATGTCGGGTGAATATTTCTTTTTTCTTTTTCGTGAAGCATTTTATTATTTACATCGGATATGGATTTAGCAACTTAAACATTAGCAACTCAAAACTCGACTCGATTTTTAAATTATATACTCTTGATGACTTCCTAAATATATAGTTTGTAATTGATTACTAAACAATAAAAAAATTTGTTGATAAATAACAGAGGATCAAATATTTATTATCATATAGTCAAGCACTGTTTTATTACCGCTGGACAGTGCATCTCCGAGACGGCTCAGGTAGAGGAGAGGCAATTTACAGGTGCGGCACCACAGGTGCAGGAGAGCGAGAGCGTTTCGTTTCTCTGCGGAAGATATTAATATGGTAGGCTGACAAAAGCGCGTGGGGTGCGCTACCGGCCGTCGTAAAGTCGTTTCCGCCTCCTCACGCGCCACGCTGGTGGGCTCGAGAGGTAACGGGGGAAGAAAAGGGGCTTTTTTTTTATGGCGGTGTTGCGCCGAACACGAGTTTGCAGAGGACTATGGCAGCGGCCGCTTTTGAAAAGCCACACGAAAGAATGAACGTCTAATGGCGACGATGTACGTGATTTTATGACTATTGTCGGCTAACACGGTGAAGATCGTATACGTGATTCACCGTGAGAGATCAGTGAAGATTGATTCTGGTGGAAACACGAAATGAACCGCGTGACCAAGCTGAAGGTAACCTAAAGAAACAGTACTCGATTCATGGAAATAAATGCAGAGATCATTGATATATATTTTATGATGCTGACATTTTACGATAAATTGGAAACTTCAATGGGTCATGTCGATTCTTATTTTCGTGGCTTTTGCACTACTCGCCGTAGTGCGCCGGCTGAAAATCGAGCGTTTTGAAACACGTTAATTTACACATTATGGAAGCTTGTTTGCGTCAGCTTGGCGCGGTCGTTGTGTGTGTGTGAGAGAGAGAGAGAGAGAGAGAGAGAGAGAGAGAGAGAGAGGAGGAC